ATGCAAGTGTTAATTGCAAAAAGTTGTTAATAAAAACTACACAGCTAGTGCTGTTGTAGCCTCTTAGGAAGCAGTAGACTTGGGAAATGTGGATAGCTCCAGTTCAAATCCAAGACAACTGTTTGGCAGGGTTTTAATTTGCTCACGCAATTATATCTGCTATACTTAACTGTGTATAGATATGAATAATCCTATCAAAAAGGAAAATAGTCTTGAAAGTACTGTGAGTATTCTCCCTAGTGTACAATTCTGTGCAGCAGTAACTCACAGCTTTCAGATCTTGTATGCAACACAGCAGCTGCTGTCTACTGTTAGTTTATTTTTTATTTTGGTTTGTTGTTTGTTTGGTTTTGTATCGGTTTTTTGTGTTTTATGTTTTGTTGTGAGTTTTTGTTGTTTGGGTTTTTTTAATACAACTTTTGCTTCTAGCCCCTGCCTGGGAATTCCATTTTATGATGAGGCTGTGGCATGAATCCTAAATCCTGCAGTATGTTACAAAATTGCACGCCAATTTCATCTCTCTCTAGTTGAGGATGTTCAGTGCTTTTCAGGGTCTGTTTCTGCATTAAAATCTGGTATTGGTGTCCTGGTTTCAGCTGGGATAGAGTTAATATTCTTCCTAGTAGCAGGTATAGTGTGTGTTTTGGATTTAGGATGAGAATAATGTAGATAATACACTGATGTTGTAGTTGTTGCCAAGCAGTCAAGGACTTTTCAGCTTCTCATATCGGCCTGCCAACAAGTGAGAAGGGAGGGGGCACCTGAGAAACTGGGAGGGGACAGAGCCAGAACAGCTGACCCAAACTGGCCAAAGGGATATTCCGTAGCATATGATGTCATGCTCCATATATAACTGGGGCGTTGGCCGGGAGGCAGCGCAGCTCTTGGCCTAGCTGAGTATCAGCTTTGGGTGGTGAGCTATTGTGCTGTGCATCACTTGTTTGGTGTATTCTATTTATTTATTATTATTATTATCTTCTTTTTCTGTCCTATTAAACTCTTTATTTCAACCCACAAGTTTTACCTTATTTTTTTCTTTTTTTCTTTTCAATTCTCTCCCTCATCCCATTGGGAGTGGGAGGAGTGAGTGAATGGCTGTGTGCTTGTTTTAGCTGCCTGCTGGGTTAAACCACAAGAATTGGTCTCTATAGCTTACCAATCTTCACAGAGGGAAGTTTGTTCCTGTAATAGCTCATAGTGTAATTATAAAAAGCTATTAAAGGGGGTTACCAAATGGACATGATTGGAAAAAAGTGTACTGTAAAGTAATTAAGAATTGCAGGGTTTGGTACTGTATTTTTGCCTGTTCTTGCACTTACTGAACAACTCCTATGGTCTTTGTTTTTTAGGTTGTTGAAGACTGGAAATTTATTGCTCAGGTGCTTGATCGAATGTTCTTATGGACTTTTCTTCTGGTTTCAATAATTGGATCACTTGTGTTATTTATTCCTGTTATTCATAAATGGGCAAGTATAATAGTTCCTACGCATATAGGCAGTACAAATGCCTAAAATATTCTTGGGTCTGTCTCCTGCTAATGTGGCTCTAAAGATTTTTGCAGTAGCTCTATTTCATCCATATTCTTTTTAGGCATGTTTCTGATAGATAAAAAAAAAAAAAGAATCCCAAATCAGAAAATTATGTTTATATTAAAGCATGTCATCCCTAGGACACGTAGAAGTCAATTTGCTTATTTACAGTCTAGTAAGTTACTTCTAAATCAGGTCAGAATTAAGAGAACCTTCTCATGCACTTGCATGTATGATATGTCAAAAAAGCATACACTGACACCTACTGCGAAATAGAAGGATTTAAAATTTTTTAATGATGATCGCTGTAGTTCAATTATTAAATTACTGTATAAATTGTTATAGTGAGTATTAAATATTTGTAGATATTTACAGTTGGGTTGCTTATTTCAATTTACTGTAGTATGCGAAGGAGAATTTTTATCAGCTCTCTTGAATGTGTTGTAAAAGTAATAAAGTTTCTACAGAGTAAATTTGAAATAATAATAAAAATACCCTTTAAACTTCCCATATATTCAACATATAAGTAAAAATAGTGATTTGGCTATGTTTTGCCTTTATGAATTTTCAGTGCGATCTGCTGCTAAATTTAAAACCTTGTTAATTCTATTATACTAACATGTACATTTAATATGGTAAGCCTTAAAATGCCTGCAGGATACAAATACATCGGTATCTTTGTATCAGCTATGGAAGGGAAGGCAAAGACAATTAAATGAATTCCCAAGTTGCACAAATAGTCTAATAGACCAGAACATTCAGGTTTCTTTATTCTCAATGAAGAATTTGATACTGTATGTTAGTTGCAAATATGTTAATAATTTCCTGCTTTTGTGTGTTGCTCAGAATTAAGTTTTTAAGCACGGGTAGATGGAACTTGGGGTATGCCTTTCTGAAGGAAATGGGTTGAAAATTATTATGCTGTATAACCAAATGCAGATTATTAAAGTTTCATAAATTTGTTAAACTGAACTTAGAAAGCTACCTTTAATAGGTTCTCTCACTTAAAGGACCATATACAACTCTGAGCAGCAAGGATTTACAGCTTCCCATACTTTTTTTTCCTCAGAGCATTAAAACCTAACTTGCAACTTTTTACTTATTCCATTAAAATATATTCTTTAAATATGGATTTAAATTCTCTATATTCATTCCAATGCCACGTTTCTTAAAAGCTTTATTTCTGGAAGAGACTCTAAAATAGACGGAAGTTTTCCTACACCAAAGTTTTGTCAGTGTACTTCATAATACAGTTTCATCCTGGAGGGCTAATACAGTGCCAAACTAGAGCAAGTCTTGGGAAGTTTTTATTTGCTTCAATTACTACATTATTAGTAACACGTTTAGGTGAAAAGTTTAATGTAAATGGTGGTATCTTTGATAATGTAAGTTTTGATAGTGGTTATGAACTTGGAAAACAGATACATTTTCCTTGCTCCATATCTCCTTTAGAATAGCACTGTTTGGCATTGTACTGATTGTAGTACTGATTGCTTATGTCATAACTTACATATAATTGAATATTTATTTCAAATTGTTTTCACCTGTAGGACATTCTTGGTTTTGTGTAGCTTTTTAAGGCTCACAGGCAAGGAAATGATGCCAGTGAAGTCTTCCCCATCCCCCCGCCCCAAATACCAATTTAGAAATAATTCTGATAGTAACGGGAGTCACTCTGGCTCTTCAGTTGTACAGTTACATCTGGCATTGGATATCCATATTTCCTCTATTCCCATCATAATTAATTTTAAAGGTGAATTTGCAAAGATTGTCCAATTTAATCCATTAATATCATAATTTTAACTTTTGCAGCATTATTAAGATGAAACAATGCATCAGTAACTTTCTCTGTGTGGAAGTTGCAGAAATCCTTTAGATATCTTATTTCTTCTTCAAATGCAAAATTTCTTTTTATAGTCCTTCTTGGGTTTGAATTACTGAAGTTTATTCTTACCTGAACAGAAAGCAAAGTAAGTAAAACTGTAGATTAACTATATATATTATTTTTTTAACTCCCCACCTCATCTCTTTCCCCTTGTTAAATGATGTCTGTAGACTGCCCAATTATAAGGTGATGGATTGGCAGTGTATTGGCCGCTGAAGTCCCAGTCTTTATACTAGTAACTCACAGTTTTTGCAAATGCGTGAATTTCTTTCAGTCACTTCTATAATCTGATCATGACAAATACAGGTAAGATAGCTGAGACTAGAATCCTTGGGGTCTTCAGCTTACCATCAGGTGTGTCTGAAACAAAATAATTTTAATAGCCTCAGAAGCATGGACCTTTACTTATGTAAATTGTTTCTGAATGTGTTGAACTGTAGCTAGTGCTACCTTATATAGGTTTTTGTCACTTGGTCAAAATAAATGAAAACAAACAAAAAAGCACGATTTTTAACAGCTTGATTCTCTTTATTTTCATAAATGTTATATCACTTGATACACTCTATTTCCAGTTTCCACTTTGGTACAGAGAATAGTTCATATTTTTACAAAATATTTTCTCATTGCAGTATATTGTTGCATTCTTTATTCATGCTTTTAAATTATCAGCAGTTACGGATTAAAAAAAAATAATGTATGCCTAATAGGTAATTTTAGCATACTTTGCAGGACTATTTTCTATCTACATGCCTTCCCTTGTCATAAACCACTTTGCTATAGTAGGATGCTTCTGTATCCAAACTATCCTATCAAAGTATTTTGATCCTTTGCATAACCTGCAGACCACATCTTAATGTGTGTTTTACTTGTACGAAGTTTTAAACATGATTAGGTTTGAATAGCTTGATGTTTTTCCTGACAGTCTTCTCATATGTTGAAATATGGGGATGCACAGAGTTTACATTATGGCTGCTTTATTACCATCATCTATTATTTACCTATTTGTTTTCCTTCTGCAATAAACCTGCCCGTGGTCCTTTCCTCCTGCTGTTTGAGTCAGTTTATACACCAGGTGGCAATGTCTGCATTCTGGCAATTTGGTCTCTGTGCTCCCTGAACCATTTCATCCTCATGAGGGCTTTCATTGAACTCAGTGTGAACTTATTCCCGGAAGATCCTGTCATCATCTGAAGAGACTTGGCACTAGACTTGTGGAAACAAATCTAGTAGCCCAAAGTTTTCAACCTGTCTTGACTTTCTGAATATTCACATAATTTTTGGTTTCTTTATCAACTCCTTCTTAAACCATTCCTATACAGTTTAATGTTCTACCTACGTGTTTTCCAGTTATTGCAAAAAGTAGCTGTCAAGCATAGCTCATATGACTTTGAGATTAGCTGTCATAAAGATTAAATTTTTTTTTTTCCACTGTTCACATCTTTAACAAAGCCTTCTTGGTCAAGCAAAGTTGAAGCCAAGAGAGATCCTTATTCTACCACACATAGAAGAGACATCAGGTACTGGGCTGGGGGTGCAGAGTTGGTTGGCAAAGGTTTTATTTGATTTCACAACATACTATTTAATCTTTACATTTCGTCTCCAGCCATCAAAGGTTGTAAAAACAATCCTGCTGTTCCTAGAATACATACCAGGATGAAAACCCATAGAAAAATACGATCGATTACCATGGCAACGTATTTCCAGTCATCTTGAATCTGAAAAATAAATTGAATAGCAAGTAGGCATGTTTATTAGATTAACAACTTGCATTTGCAATTAGTACCATTTTCTGTAGGAAGCATGGAATTTTTTTCCATATGTAGATGTCTTTCATATATGCAGAACTTACATATCACTGTTTTCATTGACAAATAAATTCATCTTGAAGAAGCTTTATTTGAATATGTTATTAGTGGCAAAGCCAAAAGCTACTTCTTCAAATACAAAAAGTTGTTCATCAAGACACTGGACTTCATGAGATACAGCTTCTCTCTGTATGCCAAAAATGAAAGGGAAAAGCTTTACGTTCTTAGGTGATGAGGTTTGTCCAGAAAACCTTCCTGAAACAGACCGCTCCTACCGGTCTTTAGGCAGTATGTAAAAAGACAAAGATTAATTGGTGTATAATTATTTGGTATGTTTCTTATGTAGTACTGAAACATGATTGTTCTCATGCGTGATGTAAAACTCATCTCCTTACCTTCCATGTAGAGAGGGAACCAAGTGTCCAAAACCCCCATTTTTCTAATTTTTTTTTTATAGTGACGTTATAACAAGAGTGACACTGAAGTATTATATATGTTATATATTAATAGTAACTGCATTAGGTGACCATTTTAGTTACTCTTGAGATTACAATTTAAATCTTCATTTTTCTAAAGGAAGACTAATAAATGACTAATGTATTTGGTTTTGAAATTTTGCACTTTTTAGCTTAGAACTTGTTTGTTAAGGCAGACTTAAAAAACCAAAATGACCCCATATTTTCTATACCAACTAGTTCTAAAGTAAGTTCTGATTTCAGTATGAACAAAATAACTTCATTTTAACTTTGTGCCATACTGCAGAGGATTTAAATACAGTGACTATTGTGGTGGTGTGGCTACTGCTTTTAGTATGTTTGAGGAACATGATAAAAAGAAAACTTGAATTTTTTCTTTTTTATTGCATCAAGATGCATTTTTATGAAAGAATATGTTTCCCATCTTGCAGCAGTTTTCATATTTAGCTGCAGCACTTTACTCTGCAGCAGCCGCAGAGTAAGCAACATCATCACTGTGAAGGACATTCATTCTTACGTTCTTTATTATTATTGACTGTAAGCCAGGGGAGGGAGAACGTAACTTTCTGAAGGTCATAGTCAGCGAATTCCACCATTAAGATTATAGCTTGGAAAATCCTCACTCCAAGTCTTGTAGGACAGATGCTCAAGTGTGGTTACCTTAACATGCTTCACTCAGTTCACGTGTTGTCAGTGAACAGAATGGTGTGCAACAGAACTGCTCCTCAAAATTATCTACGTTCAAAATTGCACATATTTGTAATACAGCTTGGGTCACGTATTAAATAACGGTCTGTGTTGGGGTTTTTTGTTTGTTTGTTTTTTGGGGTGCTTGGGGGATTTTTTTGAGATCTTTTTCTTACAAAACACACTAATGGCAAATGGTGTCTGCAGTTTGATTAACAGTAAAATATGTTCTTACCTCTTTTGCTTCGTTCTGCATTTTCATATTTTCTGCAATGTATTTAACACTTTCAATGGCATCTCTCATTTCTGGTGACAGAACTGAAAATGAAAACAGAGGATCTACAGACTCAGAGCTTGAACTTCTTGTGAGATTGCCACTGAAATCCGAGAACTTCATTCGTTGATACTGACAACAGCTGCACGCCATATCTTGACATACAAAGCCATCTTTGCAGCATTTGGTTTCAGAACTGTTGAAGCAATTTAAGTTTGAAAACTCAGAAGTGAAAAATGGTTTTGGCTTCTGATTATTCTCTTCATCACTGGCAGGCCTTGTCATAAACATGATCCTGGGAAGTAAGTTCAAGAAAATGGTTCTCACCCACACAGGCATTGTGTGTGTCTTGGGTGTTCTGTAGTGCACGTTGAGTACAAATACCGTAATTACAATAGATAGAGTTACAAATATCATGGTGAAAAGGAGGTATTCCCCAATAAGTGGAATCACCAGGGAAGTAGAAGGTATGGTTTCTGTGATAACGAGAAGGAACACTGTTAAAGATAGAAGGACTGATATGCAGAGTGTCACCTTCTCACCACAGTCTGAAGGCAAATAGAAAACTAATACAGTCAGAAAAGAAATCAGCAGACATGGAATAATCATATTGATAGTGTAAAATAAAGGTAAACGCCTAATGTAAAGAGAATACGTGATGTCTGGATATATCTCCTCACAGCAGTTGTATTTGATGTCATGTTTATACCCAGGAGCTTTAATAATGGCCCATTCTCCGCTCTCCCAGTAATCTTTCAGGTTCATTGTAGAGCCAATTAAAACTAAGTCAATTTTGGCTTTATCGTAAGACCAGGAACCAAACTTCATGGTGCAGTTCTGATAGTCAAACGGAAAGTAGGTTACATCTATTTTACATGAGCTTTTAAATATAGCTGGAGGTATCCAGGTCACATCGCCCGTGTATTTTAATAGGGCCTTTGTCTTGTCATCAACCTGGAAATCCCCAACTGCACTGTAAAGCAAATAAAAATAACAAAAATTAGAATGCAACTACTCCAGGTAGTTTCATACATTGAAATCATACACATTAATCTGTTTTGGGAAAGTCAGTGATTACATGTTGACATGGAGCTAAATTGCATGTGCAGGACTGAGTCAGCAGCTGTCATAAATTTGCATAGTTAAACAGAAACAGCTGTATAAACTTACTATGGAGGATTTGAAAGGAAATAATTCTCCCTTACAACAACATGGCTCAGTTCAATCAATATTCAAAGCAGCAAATAGGAGATTGCAAATGGCAAACTAGATGATTGTGGTAGGTCCCTTCCAACTGAACTATTTTATCCTATTCTATTCTAGATCAAGCGTATCAGAACCCCAGGGCTGATAAGAGGATACCTGCAGTACTGGTATTTCCACCTCTGTGAACAGTGCAGGTAGTAACTATGGAAAGAGGGATTAGGGTTGGGGTGCATCTTTGCATAAGGAGTGTGTTTGGTCAGGGTTTAAGTCCCACGTTGCTATCCTGATCACACGGATCATACAACAACTGTGTGACAATTTCAGTTGTTTATATGAAAAAGAAAAACTAAAAGGTCATTTCAACTTTTAAGGCCACAGTTAGAAAAAGAGTGTCATTACTGTTGTTCCATAAACCTAAGTTTTGAGTCTGTGTAGCGAAGTCTATTTCACCAAGAACTACTTCCCTACATAGCAGAGGGATCTATTTTCTTACGGTTTGGCTCCTCACGGTCTCAGATACTGACATCCAAAGTAAACTTTACCTGTGGCTTTTATATGTCAACACTATTACTGTAAAGGTGTCAAATGGTGAGTTTAACTGCTGGAAAGCTAGAATTTGCAGTTTTTTTCAGTTTAAGGTCTGACTCACAGACAAGAACTCTGCAGTCTAAGGGAATTCCTTGCCACATCCCTTGTAGACAGTGATAAAAATAAAAGTGGCAGTTTCTGAAGGGGAAAACCAAAGTTCACCATGGCCTGCCCACTTGCAGCTCCAGGTGAGGAGCTGGCTCCTGCCCAGTGATGCTGATGTAGATGGCAGGGAGACGAGTACAACAATAGGGAGATGTGGGACAGGTGTGTTGAAAAGCAGGCTTTTTCAGTTAATTCAGTGAACCTGCTGCTGATTTTTTTTAAACTAGTAACATTACCTCCCCTTCTTCTTGAATTAAGAAGATAAATATGCAAGAGTCTTACTTGTTATATAAAACAATATCTGGCTTCCAGATCTGGCCAGATGGTACTCGGATGAATTCAGCACCTCCGTAGTCTGCTGGATTCCACCGAAGCTTGTAATCATTCCAGATCTAATTATGGAAGAAATGAGTCTATGTTAGGTTTGTGAAGAAATTGAAATTCAGTGGACTACACTCAAACCAAGTGCTGTCATGTCACTTCTAGGGGTCTTTTTTTATTTTGGATACTACAATGATTAGATGTCTCTTTTACAAACACAAATGCCTAGTGTTTATTCACTTGGAGATTGTGGGGCTATTGGCCTGATAAGACTTAACACGTGCATGACTCTGTGCCCCAGGAATGCCTAGTCATAGCTGAAACAAGGTGAAAGAGGGAATAAAGACAATCTCCTGCCAGAGCGTGTAGGACTTCAACAATAACTAAGGTCTCAAAAAGCCAGATATCTGTGAGATGGTGAAAACAAATTCATAGGAGTCTCTGGTGCTCATTGTGAGCACTGAGCGAAGGACCCAGGGTAGATGGGTTAGAAAGAGCTGCAGGGTGTCATTGCTCAGTTAAGCAACAGTCTTGTTCATAAGGGCTCATTAAAACCCAGTTTAACAAAGTTGAATATTAAACTGAAGCTGGGAATGAAGTTGGTTATTAAGCTGACTGCAACAGTGAGTAATTGCACTTTTAACCCATAAAGACCCTTTTAAGTGCAATCAGTGTTTTTGGTTTGTTCTCACTTTCTGGGAGCTAAAACGCACCAAGTGATGCTGTGCAGGATCTCCATGCCATGGTGCTTCCTCTCTGGTGTGTGCCAAGGCAGGGCGTCTGGGAGTCCTCAGAGCAAGACCATAGCAATTAGGTACTACACTCCAAGTACAGGAGAGTTAGGGCCGCAGGCTGGCGACTCACAGCCTGAGTTCAACAGCTGCACCTGGAGCCAAGCCCGTATTTAAATGCTGCAGCACCCAGACTCGGTGGGACGGAAAGATGGAGGGGTTGGTGGTGATGACGACTTGTTTCTGGCTGGTCAGTTAAAGCGCTCCATGGCAGGGGATCGGCTGGGGCTGTGCCTGGGCTGGCGGCGCGGAGGACCGGGCAGAGCAGCGCCAGGCAG